CACTTTTAAATTATATATTTATGATTAATGTAAAATTATTTTAATTTCATTTAGAGGTGGCCATATCTTATATTTCTCGTCCAGAGAAAATAAATCTATCATGTTAAAGTAAATTATTGATGATGTAATTACATCTACTGTAGATCACATGGGTCATGCACCATGGAGTTATTATTTATTAGGGCAAACATGGCTGGAATCTAACAGTATTGGCTCATATCAGCGATTATACTGTAATGACTCAGAGTTTCTGGTTGCTCTTTTACAAGTATTTTTTTCGGGCTACTATCACCATAACCCACACCTTACATACTCTTAACTTTTTCAACAGAATCGCTCGTAACTGAGTATCTACTAGCATAGCAAACCAGAGCGGAAAAAAACGGAACAACATTTCTCTCCCGTTGAGCTCAACCTCAAAATAAATCAGTAACCTCATAGTTTACTATTCAAACTCTTACAATATGTTTGAGGTAATTTGGCCACTCCAGTTCCACAAAAATAAACAATAAATGATGAACAGGGGTCTGCTTGTAGACCTGCAGAAAAGGGACACAAACAGGAGCAAGCTATCACTGCGTCAACTTGGTGAGGAAATATAAAGTCAACATTGTCTTACTGAACAATCACACGATAATAAATCACAGTGCATTAAGTGCCAACCACAGCCTTAAGACGTGTTGAACGTGCCCAAGTCCATACTTATGAGAGCACCATGAGAGCACCTGTGTGTGTACATGTGCTTGTATATGTAAGGTTTCTCTAAAGGAGCGCCCAATAGAGAGTGTGAGGGGCAACAGGTCTGCCCCCCAAAGATGTGTAGGAGATGGAAAGAGCTCCAAGTCCAAGAGATCCAGGAGCTGCCCCAGAGCACAGGGACCCCAGGGAGACTGCAACCAGAAAAGCCCCTGCCCCCCTCGAGAGGCGCAGAGGATATCCCCGTGGGGCCACAACCAGCAGCCGGCAGAGTCCTGGGAGATATCAGCGGCAAGCCCACAGGCTCGCCCGCAGCCTCCCACCCCCTAGCCGGCTGAGCCCGGAACCCAGCGACCCGGGACCCAGGGGCGACCAGCCCAGCCGGGGACCCAGCAGAGCCCAGGGACCCCACCAGGCAGCCACCGGGATTAATCAGGCAGACACCAAAGATCTTACACCCCCTGACCCAGAAGCTGCGAACACTCAGGCAGACCAAGGCACCACACTCCACACCAAGTGTGGCAGGGGGAGGGGAGGCGAAGATGTATAGCATCAAAAGAAGTCCCAGGAGAGGGGAGGAGTCAAAGGCCCCACCTGACATATACACCTCATGACATATACACAGACACAGTCACACACTCCCTCCCTCACACATACACATACAACCTAAGACTTACAGACGAACAGAAGCGGCGATCAGACAGAGATGTGCCGAGCTGCAGGGAGACCCAGCCGGCATTCCGCGCAGCAAACAGAAGCCGCGAAGCCAGGGGAGAAACGGGTGGAAAACATCGGTCTCCCGAGAGCTCCACAAGCCGATAGTCGGAACCCAGCTCCACCAACATGTTATATTTCAACCCATTTTCTAAAGTGCAGCATTATGTTAAATGCACTGGGTTTTACCCTATTACATTTAAATTTCATGGTTAAACAGTACATGTTAAAATCTAAGCTCAGCTCGGCAGTGACCTAAAATACATAAATATAATTTTACTTACCGAAAAAAATGAAGTGGAGACTCCTTGGACGCTCTATTAGTGCAATTAATGCCACAGCAAGTCATTTTGTCCAACAATTGCACAAAAAATATCCAAAGAAGAATACACAAACACAGAGACTCAAAATCCCGGAGCAGTTTCCAAGCCAGACCGAGGCTCTACTGAGGCCTTTCCACTGAGCTAGCTCTGTGGTCACGTGGGTCTGATGCTCATTAATTATACAGAATTTTAGGCTTTTAATACACTTAAACAGAAGAGTGAGAAAAGATTCACCCCCTCAGAGTCGTCATGAGTGTAAACTAGATCATTTAAACCAAAAACATGTTTTGGTACCAGGCTGTAAACATGTTTATTTCTGCTGTGAAATTGGTATTTTTAACATGGGAGTCAATGAGGATTTGCTCGCTTCTAACACCAGCCTCCAGCGGATGAGGGTGGAACTGCAATTTTTGGTACTTCCGGGTTTGACTCAATTTTAGAGACGCATTGTGGGGGCTTGGTTCTTCCCCAGCGTGTGGATCCTCACCTCCGGCTCAACTCACCGCGCTTCATGACAGAATGAACCGACCTCCTGATGGATCCAGCGGGGAAGTCCTGCCCTGGGACAGTCTGCTCCCAGGGCTCACCACCAGCTTCAGCTCCGCATCATCCTCTCCTCCACCATCTCGCCGCAGATGCCGCCGTCAAACCTCCGCCTCGGCGATCCCCTCCACCCTCCCGGAGCCAGATGGGAGGTTGGGCTGGGAGCTGCAGCTGGACCGCTCCGGCTTTCTGGGCACCAGACTGGCAGTGTGCTCCCCTGGAGTTGGTCCCCGGCACTGAGAGGGAACCCAGGCCCCGCCGTCAGGGGTGGATTAAGGACTGAAGAAGATCCGGGACTTAACACACACACACACACACTCGCGCGCACGCACGCGCACACACACACGTGACACGCACTAGTCAACATTATATATATATGTCTTGTACCACATAATTTTTAATCTGAAGCTACATATTAAGTATATTCAGGGCAGAGTATTGTTCCTGTTAGTGTTTAGTGTGAAATGATAGTAAATGTTCCCATTCTTTCTCCATCAACTTTACCTGATAGTAAGCTAACTTTAGGCAAACCAGCAGCACAACAAATATTTTCAAATAAGGCTCACAAACCTGAGTCAACACCAGTATCATCAAAGCTGGGGTTCTGTCGCGGTACTTTTGGTCTAAAAACGTCCTTATGTCCAACTTCACACATGCGTTTCAGGCAGAGTGTAGAAGAAACCAGGCACTGCAGAAGAAGCCGGCAGCTGAAGGGCTTCTTCTTCAGTGGTGGAGGCTCAGGTAGGCTGTATACAAACTACTGCTAGCTGCTCCTTCTCTGTTGGACTTTGGTACTGCATGCTACTTCCGCGTTTGAGATCCGGGGCTTTTCATTAAAGATTCGGGGCTTGAGCCCAAGTAGCCGGGCCTAACACCGCCCCTGCCCGCCGTCACCTCCAGCCCAAGAGATGCGCCACGGGCATGCTGCGGTTCCGGCTGACGTCACCCCCGGCTGCACGGTCTTCTCCCACTCCAGGGGGGTCAGGAGAGGGACCAGACCGGCGGTCAACCCGGCAGAGTTTGCCCTTCCCGAGGCTTAGCTGGTCAGTCTAAAAAATCTCATCAGCCGCCAGGAGTTCCAGCTGGACACTCTATCCTCCTTGGTTCTCGAGGAGGCGGTACTCCGTTCAGCGCCTCCACTCCCTGTCAGCGGCACCTCCTCCCCTCCCGGCACCAACTCCGGTCCAGCCAGCATCACTCCCGTCAGCAGCACCACCTCCAGTCCAGCCAGCATCACCCCCGTCAGCGGCACCGCAACCGGCCCAGCCTGTCTAAGAGGCTCCGCCCCCAGCCCAGCCTGTCCAAGAGGCTCCGCCCCGGCCCAGCCTATCCAAGGGGCTCCGCCCCTGGCCCAGCCTGTCCAAGTCCAGTCAGCACCAAGTCCGGCGCTTCAAGTCCAGTTGTCAGTGCCAAGTCCGGCGCTTCAAGTCCAGTCGTCGCCAAGTCCAGCTCCTCTTGTATTTAAACCCTGTCAGTCCTTTTTGTCTTGTCGGTTCATTGTTTTATGTCCAGCGTGTTTTATATTAAAAACCTTGCTAATCCGTTTCCGTCTGCCCGCCTGCCTTCTTCCCCAACATGTGGATCCTCACCTCCAGCTCAACTCACCCTCACGTTGTGACATTTTGACAGGTCTTCACATACTCTACCCCAAAATTCCTGGACAGGTGGGCAGGACCACAGTGCGCGAATGTAATTGTCAGGAATGTTGTTTTTGCAGTGTGTACAGGTGTCAGACGACACAAACCCCATCCTGAACATCCGATGACCTGTAAAGTGTACTCTGTGTAGAATTTTGTACTGAATTAATTGTAAATTGGTGTCTGATCATTTTAAAAGTTTTTAAACACGTTTGGGACCAGAAGTTCTGGTCAAAGCTGACTGATAGATCCGTGCTTTAGACAGTAGTTTGGGGGGGGGGGGGGGGTGAGATTATAGAAGTCTAATACCCTTGGTGGTGTTTGTAATTGTACTTTATTGAGCTTAAATTTTTGTTTAACTACAGATTTAATTAAATAAGCATACCCTAACATTTTAAACCAATCATGTCCAAACCTTTGGCGACAACGGCAGAAATCACCAAGTTGGAAACTAATCAAGGAAATCTTTTATGTGAAAAACAACTATCATGATTTTATTATACCAACTCAACAATACAGTAGAAATTAAAGTTTTTGAATGAAAATAACTTTTACTTATATTAAGAAAAAGCAGCAGATTCACTGGATTTGACAGGTTGATCATTTATTTTGTTTCAGTCTATATTATTGGAACCAAGAACAGGATCTGAGTCCTTCTTCAGTCATGTTTGCTAAATGTTGTCAAGTTTATGAATGGTGCTCCAAAGTCTGCTTTTTAGTAAATGCTGTGAGGATTTCTGGTCCAATTTTCCAGGAATTTAAATAAAGGAAAAATTGTTAATAAAAGACCAATTTTTTTTTTACTTGGACCTAAAAACATAAACATAAAATAAACATCTGCCTGCGTCATCAGAATCCTAAACAAGGTCTACAAATGGCCCACAGGCCACACTTTGGACACTGGTTACCAACTGACCCTAACCACACCCACAAAACGGCCACTAAGGAGGAAGAAGAGTGAAGGTCATTTACATATGATCTGTTGTATACAGCACTTTATTGGTCCTAAGGCTGTGTGAAAGCACTTAATAAATAAAGATGATGATGACGAGAAGCTCGTTAGACCTTTATTCTGATCTGTTCGCAGGGAATGAAAGGAACAGATGTTCTGCAGATGATTGAAAGTGGGAAGCGAATGGACCCCCCAGCGAACTGCCCTCCAGAGATGTTTGACCTCATGAAAACATGTTGGACCTACAAGTGAGAGACATGTCTGTCATGCTAACAGACCAAATAAAAGACTGAATTATTATTGTTATTGACTCTTTTTGTTTTGTCTTCTAGGGTGGATGAAAGGCCAGGATTTTCTGTGGTTGAGCCAAGACTACGAGAGTATTACTATGACATCGCACAGTGATCCTTCACAGTGAAGCTATCAGGCTATGCAAACTTTTAGTTTTTGAAACAATTTTTCATAAATGTCATCATAAATGTCTTAGGAATTATAAATCTTGTCATATTTATGAACCTAACTCTAAAATTTACTCAGAATCTTAGTAAATATTTGTGGATTCTGATGGAGAAAAAGCTCTGCATAATGCTGTGTTTCTGCATGCGTGTGTGTGTGTGTGTGTGTGTGTGTGTGAAAGAGAGACTGGATGAGTGTTGCCTTTAGTTTAAAAGGCAACATCAGAAGACTAGAAAATCTGCTCCTTTTACCTATCAGATTAGTATAATTTGTATCTTCTCACCCTTACTATTGAATGTAATCAAAGATGAAATATTTGTGAATGTTTTTATTGAGTAAGTTAAACAGCTAACGAGCGTTCTAATTAGCTGTTAATGCTTCCAGCTGAATCTGTAAAATGTGTTAAAGCTGTGCAACGATGTCACTTTGTTAAAATAAAATATGCTTCTGCTTCAGAGTCTGATTGAGTGTGACAGACATCGGAGCCTAGATAGAACCAGTGTGAGTTTCTGCTCACATCACTTCCAACTCTAAAGATAGTCAGACACAACATGCACTGATTCCATGCAAGTAACCACATAATTTCATGTAAATAACTCCATGAGGTCAAGCTGACTGTAACAGTTTTTTGAACGCCACATAAACATCTGTGAAATTCAGACGACTGGAGACATTTTAGTCAAGGCAACGTTTATTTTATTATTTTAGGATGATTGCAAAACTTGATCCGTCATGTGTTTTCCCCTACTTCAGCTTCCATGAGCTACAATAGCACATTTGAAAAACAAATTATCTTTAAGGTGTGGGAACCTGCAGTGGTCTCTGTTAGGAATGAATGCCTTGCAAGCCATACTCAGGGCAAAAAAGCCCAGAAGTGCTTGGATCAGCACCAACGGGTCTGCTGCAGGATTTGGAGTCACAGGACAGTAAATCAGGTTAAGGTTAACTGCACTACACTCGCATGTCTTTTTCCATAACACCAGAGCTTTCTATCTTGAAGGCAGGCTTCTGAGGAATGTTAAAATCTCTACATGTCAAAACCTGATTCGTAGACCAGGAAATGCCCATCTTATAAAACACAACTCTCGGCATTTAGCGAGTGAGTTCTAGAGAAGTGGGACAGCCGCCCACACGTTCTTTAACCAATAAGCGATCTCTGTCACGCTGGCAGAATTGCTACGACACAACAAATGACACCTGCAGAACAAAGCTGACGCAAACTCCTTCAGAGTTATTATTTTTGAGACGCAACCAGTTTCATCAGTCGTTGTGACCTGGAGACATCTCAGGACCGACTTGGTCGCACTAAGGTTCTTCTACCCACCTCGTGCTTGGGGTCATCATCTCCTCCTGACATCTCAGATCCAAAAGGGGGTTTCCTAACTGGGTGCGGTAGACACTTCCGACAGATTGCGTCTGAATGCTCTTTAATAAGAACAACTTTAGTTTATCTGCAAACCAAATTCTTTCTACCCAGAACGCGCCTTCTCTCAAGATACACATTCTGAGAACAATGTATTCACCCGCAAACAAACACACTTCCAGCTTAGATCCATCCATTCTCAGGGTTGCTATTCAATACCAAAGTATTTAATACCAAAGCTTTTATAAATTTTCTTTTAAATTATCCCGTTTTAAATTGTTTAGTAATAAATTTTTTAACTTTTTAAACTTGACTCTTCGTTGAAATAAACACAGAGTGGGTTTATATTGATCACTGAACGAACAAAGATCTTAAGATCTTCTGAATTAATAAATAACTTTGCTATTAATTTAAATCTTTAAAATTAAATATTAATCTTTTGATTAAACATAGACCAAGCAAGTTGGTGTATGAATTTACATCTATTATATATGTAGAGTTAATCTGCATACTGAAATCACCTCTGTTGCTATTCAGTGGAGATTCCGAAAATGACCAATCAGATTAATTTATGTGGCTTAGATCATATATAAATATCCCGTATACTTATATATGGCTCTAAGTTCATACATCAACCTGTTTGATCTAGTTTTAAATCCAAAGATTAATGTTTAATTTAGATAATTAAATTTAATAGCAAAAGTTATTTTGAATCAGAAACTAGGATCTTTGCTTTCAAATAACCAGAAACCTTATTCCTGTTCTGTGTTTTGTTTCAATAATGAGGC